TCACCTCCTCAGAGACACCCAACTACACTGCTATGAATTTGGGGATTGTATGATACAGTGGCACATAATGAAACTTGTTAAATGACTGCACAAGAAAAGCTGTAAGCCACCCACCAGGAGCATAATCATGCTCATGACTCCATGATGGGGGCTGGGGGTGGTGATAAAGGACACACAACTGAGGTTCATAGTGGGTGTGAGATAGCACTGTAAAGGGAACTCTAGGCTTTAGCAAAGGGAGTTCTACCTCTGGGGAAAGAAGACTCAATGCTCTGCAGTGACTGGCCACAGAGACCCCAAGCAAGGCCATTCCCCACAGGAGAAAACATTTTCAGGCCAGTTACTATTCCTGGACACTGGGTTCGTTCAAATCCCCCAACACACACACAATATCCAGAAGGGTGCACGGCACTTAGAATATGTGAAGAATTTAAATAATCAAAGAATACAAATGTCAGGTGTACCCCTCTGTAAAAGACTTGATTTTACTTTTGGCCCCACTCTTATAAGTGCCACAAGAGTAAGAGGCTGAGTGGGTTAATTTTATGATAATTATGCCAGCATCTATTTTATTCAGCTTGCGTTCATGCTTACTTTTCCTGGGATGAGAGAACATTTCCAAAGCTGAAACATGCTCCTTGGTGTTCAGACCACCCCTGCCCAGGACTGAACACACACTGACAGGACTGTGCCAACAGCCACCCTATGCCTTGCACATTCATTGTAGTTGTTCTGAAAGACCCAGTTCCTTCTATGGGAATCTGAAGACACCAAGTATTGCCAAGTGAACAGGAAAGCCAGGCTTCTTCCAAGCTGGGCAATCCTACTCCTGGAACACAGTCCAGGAGAAGTGTCTGGTGCCAGCATCTACAGCAGAGACACAAAGGCCCAAGGAGACCCTGTGGAGCACAGGTACAGGGTGATGCCTGCCATCAGGGGACACACATTACCTGTAGGTGATCCTCACTTCAGTTCCAGGCTCATCTCGCTCCCAGATCAAAGCAATGCTCTCCGGGGACTTCTGAACATGCTGATCCAAGCAGTTGACTGTACAAAAACAGGTTAACAAACATTAAACTTGGAGCTCTTGGAGTCAGAATCAGGGGAGGGTCTGGTGTGCTGTGACTTGTACTATTCCCCACTGAGGTGGATATTTCCATTTTCCTCATCAAAGATGTCATTTCTACTTCCTTGCAAGGAGACGGGTAATTGTCAAAGCCTGTGAAAATAGGACAATAACTACACAAATATGATCTCACAGGTACAGGGTGATCCCCTGTGAAAATGGTATAAAGCCGACATTTCACACCAGCAGTCCCAATCCCAGCCACACATTGGTGTTGTCTGGGCCACCCCCAGGGACCCTGACCCAAATGACCCTATAATTTTCAAGGCTCCTGGGTGGTTCTAATGTTCAGTGTGGGCCGGGTACCACAGCCTGAGGTGTTGGAAAGACCTCATATATATACACCTCTCTCTCTCTATATATAGATTGATTTTAGAGAGGAGGGGAGGGAGAGAGAAATATTGATGTGAGAGAGAAACATTGATCAGTTGCCTTCAGTACACTCCCTGGCTTTTTGAGGATCAAATGCACAACCTAGCTAGGTATGTGCCCTGAAGGGATTGAACCTGAAGACTTTTGGTGTACCAGGTGATGCTCCAATCAACTGAGCCACCGGACAGGGCTAGAGAGAATACCTAATGTAAATAGGATGCTCCTGATCCAATACAACTTTCATGCAAAGGGCTCTCGCATGTGGTAGAGCTGCACAGTGTCCAGGTCAAGGAACCACATCCCTTCTTAGGTGTCCAGTCAGCACCCTAAAACCAGCCTCTGTTCCAAGGAGTGTTGCAATGATGAGGAAATGCAATGATGGTTTTCCGGAAGACTCTGCTCCCCTCCTCCTCCATTACCCAAGCTCAGGTCACATGACTGCCCGCAAAAAACAGAAGGTCAGTTCTGCCAGTTTACTGTAAACCTGAAGATTAGTAGGATTATGTTCATTTGCTGACATCCTGTTCAAGGTGAGCTTAGCTGTGGCTGTCAATGCCAGCCTCCAAAGCCAGGCTTTCATTGCTCACCTCTCCATCAGGGGAGAAAATGATCACCACAAATATCTGTTGGAGGCAGCAGCCATCTGTCCCCCTGGTCGTCAGGGTCACCCCAATGTCCAGGTATATAAATGTTTGTTTTCTTTTTCCTTTTCAGAGCAGTTACTTATCTTCTTCAAATCAGTCTTCTCCTATGTAAATGGGAGCTGAATTATCTACCATGTCTAACTCACAAGGCTATGACCAGAAACCAATGAAATACTGAATGTTAAAGTGCTATTATATGAACACAAGGTACTATTACCAACTGATAAATACCATGCTATGAGTTGGAGACTTTTTAAAAATTTATTTATTTATTTATTTATTTTTAGAGAGGGGAAGGGAGGAAGAAAGAGCGGGAGAGAAACACCAATGTGTGGTTGCGTCTCACGTGCGCCCTACCAGGGACCTGTATCACAACCCAGGCATGTGCCCTAGACTGGGAATTGAACCGGCAATCCTTTGGTTCGCAGGCTGGCACTCAGTCTGCTGAGCCACACCAGCCAGGGCTGAGTTAGACTTTCAAATGCAATAACCATTCTGACAAAATTTATGGGAGATACCAAAATATCATGTGATTCCTCTGATTCTTGAGAGGGTGAACTCACAAGAAAATATTTACATACTTTAGTTAATATGGGTCTGTGCGTGTGTGTGTGAGAATTATGTTTTCCCCTCCTGGGTTATTTTCTCTATTAATTATTCTTATAATAAAAATTTATTTTCAATTTTCTGATTCCTAACCGGTATATAAATTTTACATCAAAAATTTTAATAAAGATATATGTCATGAAAAAAGTTATTATTGACTCAGAAAGGTTCTTTGAATTATTAAACAAATAGATGAGAATAAATGCCAATAACACAGAAGAGAGGAAAAGAAAGAAGAGAAACTGAGAAGGTGGCGCTTGGTGGCAGAACCTGGATTTATATAATAAACCCAAAATCAATGTGTATATGTTTGAGTGTCTCAATATGTTCCAGAGTTGAGAAATCACGTTTTCACACCACAACTGGGGATTTCTGACTTCTGTTGAACAACCAGCAGATGAGGGCACACCTTACCCTGAGAGCTGAGGTGGTAGCCATGCCTCAGCAGAGCAGGTCCTGTTCCCACTCCACTGCCTGGCCCTGGAGGACCTGACTGATGCAACAGGAAGCAGTGACCCTAAGCAGGTCGTGACAAGCCTTGGAGTACTCAGGTCCTTGACGCTGAAGACAGATAATAAGAAAGGCTTGGAGGAGGGAAACAGAGTGAGTTAAAGCTGTGCACGGAGCAGGAGAGTGTTGCTTCCATGTGTACATGAGTGTTCACTGGACCCTGGCTGCACCAGGCATTACTGGGGAACCGATGCAAACCCTTGGCGCCGCCCTAGAGCAGCTCTGAGAAGAGCCGTCCATCAGGAAAGGCTTCAAGTGCAATGAATGAATTAATTCTTACTATTTAATTTCAAATAGGCCTTTTCTAGAGATGATACATAGTAACAAGACTGTTTCCTCTGCCTGGAAATCCTCCTCCCAGTTTCCTTCACCAAAATGCTATTCATCTTTCAGCTCCTTCAGCTGTCAAATGCTCTCACGTTATTCCCCTTTAATGCAAGTATTACACTTAAAATTTTACATTTATTATGGTGAGCTGAATAAAATTGTCTCTTTCCTTAAATTTCCATAATTGAGCAAGTTTGTAGTTTGCTCAATTCATCCATCTTCCAGCACTTAGGAATATACCTGGTTCACTAAATTAGTGTTAAAGAACAAACTAAGGATTATTTCATGTTTTCTTAGGCCATATTTATTATTATTTATATCTTGAAACTATAATTTGGGTATCCTTTTGATATGTTAAACTAATTTTTGTTTTTTAATATCCACAGCTCAAAGTCTTTTTGTACGTAAAGTTTTATTGAGCCAAAAGAGCTAGCTAAAAGACAGGTCTTAGGGCATGGAATCTAAATTACTAGCAGTATGGCTAGGGAGAAAAGACAGCATGTCCGTGGTCCCGGAGTTTTGCCAGCATTTTATACATCAAGTAGGGGGAAGAGAGAAGAGGTCTGAAAGAATTTAAGTAAGCTATAGGCAAAGCCGTAGGCAAATGGAAGGGGGCTAGCTCTGGGATAATTGCACAGTTGGAATATGAAGAAATGTCCCCTCCTGTAGCCTGGCTGGGGGTAGCAGTCCGAAAAACGCTGTGTAAACAGGTGGGACTCCAGAAGTTACGTGGTGTCTCGCAAAAATAACCTGTGAAAAGAGCCACCTGGAAACCAGCGCTAAATTCCAACAGGAAAAACAGGAATGTGAGAAATGTTAACTGGTCAGCAGCCACTAAGAGACTCTTTTATTCTCCCGCTGTAATTTAATTTAGGGTCTTTTTCTTAACACTTTTTATAAACTTTATCAAACGTCTGTTGTAACTATCACAAAAAAGATTTAACACTCAACACCTAGCCTTAACCAAAGGGACATTTTCTAGCCTGTTTTTCTCTTAACCAGACCAGTTCAGAAAAAGTATAATTTTTAGGTAGGCCTGTTGCCCTGCTGTACCTCTAAGAATATAATCCTATTTTTTACGCTGCCTGTAGAAACCGCGGTCTTTTTCATCTAATAAACAGCACCATCCTCTTTACCAAAACAAACCGCCAACACCTCTGTCCAGCACTGCCGAAATGCGAAACAATTATCGTTGTCGCTCCCATTACAAATGAAACGAAATGAAAACAGGCAGCGCAGGCGGTGTGCTGTGCTTTGCCGCGCGGGTTCCAAACCCGAGGGGGCCGAAGCGTTCATTCCGCGGGCACCGCCTCCAAGCCCCACGCTCAGCCTTAAGAATCTGCCGGAAGTCGCTGGGATGGCCCACGGAGTGAAGCCCTGGAGGCAGCTGGTCTAGCTACCGGAAGGGGCGTGGTCCCAACGTCACTTTCTCGCGCGGCAAGGAAGGCGAGGCGTTCATAATTGGTGTCTGCGTTGCTCTGTTTTGTTACGTGGGGGGCAGGCGGCAGTGGTATTCGCAGAATGAGCGAGGCAGACGGGCTACGGCAGCGCCGTCCCCTGCGGCCGCACGTCGTCACTGACGACGGACGGACCTCGGAGACCAAGGACAGCAGGTAGGCCTGGCCTCCAGACTTCGTTCTCGAGCAGCGGGGCTGACTCTCAAGTACGGTGATGGCAATAAGAGTAGCCGGATAAATGTGGTGCCGACGCGCGGCATGCGCTGTGTCATGTAAAACTCATTTTACTCTTGGCAAAACTCATTTTACAGGGAAGAAAGAAGGCTCTGATCAAGCTGATGGCGCTTGCCAGGTCGTGGAGGCTTTGGGCCTCTTCTGCGTCCTATCGCGGCATTATCCCCGGCTCCCGGTCCCGAGGCCGTCTCGCGCCGCACCTGCCCCATCTGCTTCAGCATTCAGAGCAGTGGTTTCCTCGCTTTCCCCTTCCCTGCGCGCTGTCCTTGTTGGCTTGCCTCATCCCTGGGGAGCGCCATCTAGCCACTGCCCTACGTCTTCCCGGTTCCGTGTTCGCAGTGTCCTGAAGGGAGGTCCGAAAAATGGTTCGGGGCGTCCCTGAATATTCAGTGAAGAGCCGGCTTCTGCACCTGGTCACCTTTCTCTAAGCGGGACCAGTCCTCACCGCGGTTTTCCGGAAAGAGTAGCGACCAGAAGTGACTGTTGGGCAATTTTCATGAGAATTCAGCCTTGCGGATTCTTCCTGATAGGGACCGAGAAGCAGAGGAAACTGCTCCTGTTGATGCCTAATGAAAGCGCAGGTTTTTGGCCTTTGCTTCTCCCAGCCTTCCAGAATTTAAGTATACTGTTTTGTTAGATAAAAACTGAAGCATGGTCCTTAAACATCTATGTTAATATAAAATATTTGAACTTCTGTTTTTAATTTTGCATCCTGAGTCTCATAACTTTGAGTATTTTGGGAGAACCAAGTGGTCCTGTATAGGCGAAGCTCAAAGCTGTGGAACTGATTGAGTTATAAGTTGATAGAAATAGTGGAAATATTTATTGGTGTGCCAAGGGGTGTGGTATATACTGAATGAGGGACAGTTTTTGCCATGACAGACTGAATTTAATCACCGATGGTAATAAGAGGAACACCTTTGTAGGAGAGATGTAGCAGAAAGGAATGTTTTGGCTGTGGAAAGGCGATTCACACAGAAGGCATTCTGGTAGTCTCTTGACTCCTGGGCTCAGTGTGGGGGGGGGTGCGTAATGTGATACACTCCTGATTGTAGGGTGACCAACCATTCTGGTTTGCCCTGGACTCAGAAACTTTCAAGGATGCAGGACTTTCAGTGCTAATTTTGGCAGACCAGGACAAGTTGATCACTCTATTGACTGAGAATATTGATTATGAAGTCATCTTTTGATGACTACTGAGGAGCCTTTGGAATGGTCATGCAAGGACTGGTAGTACTTTACAATGGAAACCATGAAGACAAGGCATGCTCCATGCACTTTCACATGAGAAATAGAAGTGCAGCTGGCCCTGACATCGCTGTGGGGTGCAGTGTTGAAAACCAAGGCATGTAATACCTGAAGGCACTTACTGGATGGGCCCAAATATCATCTGGGCTCCTCGGACACTCTTGGCCCTGCTGTAGAGGGACAGAGTTAATTAAATTGTTTTTCAGTTTCCCTGTGGGGACTTCTGACTTGATGGCAGGGTAAATTGGATATTCCAAAGTTACCTGCTGCTGGTCTTTTCCAGTGTGCCTTTTACATTGAATTCGTCTAAGATAGTTTCTTTTCTTTTTTCAGGTTTCTTTTTTTATTTTATTTTTTTAAGATTTTAAATCATGTTTATTCTATCACGGTTGTCTCAATTTTCCCCCTTTTACCTCCCTCCACCCATTTCCCCCAACCCCCACTCCACTCCACAGTCAGTTCCCACTTTGTTGTCCATGGGTCATTCATACATGTTCTTTGGCTAGTTCCTTCTCCTTCTTTACACCATTTTCCTCTTTCCCCATCCCCTCTGATCTCTTTCAGTCTACTCCATGTTTCCATGCCTGTGGTTTATTTTCTTCGTTAGTTTATTTTGCTGAACAGATTCCACTTATAGGTGAGATAATATGGTATTTGTATTTCACCAACTGGGTTATTTCACTTAGCATAACATCCAGTTCCATCCATGTTGTCACAAAAGGTAGGAGTTCGTTCGTTCGTTCTTTCAGATTAATTTTATTTATTTTTTTAAATGTCAAAGTCAATTTTAAAATATTAAAAATTTTAAAACCATTATGAAGTCTCAGCAATTAAAACAACATGACACCAGCACAGAAATAATCAAGTAGATCAATGAAATAAAATGAGTATTCCAGAAACAAATATATATATCTAACAATGTAATATATGATTAAGCCGATATTTCAAATCAGTAGGGAAAATAAGGCTTATTCAACAAATAAGGTGCATGGACTACTACCACTTGAAATAAAACAAACATAGAGCCCTATTTCACACACTACACAAAAAATGTTCAGGTGAGTTAAAAATCAGCATGTGAAATCTAAGGGGTTTTAGGAGAAAACACAAACTAGTATTTTTCTTACCCTGAAGTAACTATTCAAACCGAGAAGCTATAAAGTAAAATATTGACAATATGACTATATTAAGCATTTAAGACTATACAGTAATATACATATTAAAAAAGTTAAATGACAAGTAATAGAATAGGAAAGTATTTGCCACACATCTATAAAAGAGTTAATAGTTTGGGTTTTTTTTTTTTTTAGGGAAAAATATTCTGCAAACCTTTAATCGATAAATGGATAAAGAATACCAAAAAGTCATTTAAAAATTTTTTTTTAAATAATAGAAATAGGCAAAAAATATACAAAACAGGTTTAGTTTCAACAAATAATGAAGGAACAATTAAAATAACATCATTGTCACAATCGGATTAATATGTACTAAAAAATATTGGTAATATCAAGTATTGGTGACTGTGAAAGGAACTGAGTATTCATAGACTCTTCACCTTCTTAAAACAGTCTCTTTAGCATATTTTGCAATGCTGGTTTGGTGGAGGTTTATTCTTTTAGGCTTCTTTTGTCTGGGAAGCTCCTTACTTCACTTTCCATTATAATTGAGAGCCTTGCTGGGTAGAGCACTCTTGGTTGCAGGCCTTTGGTTTTCATGATTTGGAATATTTCTTGCCACTCCCTTCTGGTTTACAGTGTTTCTGTGGAGAAATCAGTTGCTAGCCATATTGGGGCTTCCTTATATGTTACTACCTCTTTCTCCCTTGCTGCCTTTAGGATTCTCTGTTTGTCTTTGATATTTGCCATTTTAATTATGATGAGTCTTGGAGTGGGCCTCATTGGGATCCTCTTGAATGGAACCCTCTGTGCTTCCTGGACTTGTGTGACTTTTTCTCTTCTATTAGAGAAGTTTTCCATCATTACATTTTTCAAACAGGTTCTCTATCCCTTCCTCCTCCTCTTCTCCTTCTGGTATCCCTGTTAAATGGATATTAATTATATTTAAGGTTGTCTGGCATTTCCCTAAATACCTCTTCATGCTTTCTGAGTCTTTTTTCATTTTCTTGCTTTTTTGGGGAGCTTTTTTCTACCTTGTCCTCCAGCTCACTGATTCGGTCCTCAGCTTCATCGAGCCTGCTTTTGATTCCTTCTACTGTGTCCTTCAATTCAGAAATTGAATTCTTCATTTCTTCTTGTGTCTCATTGATAGTTTCTGTGCCCTTGTTCATGCTGATGTAGTTTACAGTAAGTTCCCATAGTTTCTCTGTAGTTTTTTGTAATTCTCTCTGAGCTTATTGAGCTTCCTTAGAACTGTTGTTTGGAACTCAATATCTGACAGTTTACTTGTCTCTATTTCATTTAGTTCTCTTTGTGGGGATTCCTCCTTTCCCTTCCACTTGGGGGTGTATTTCTTTGTCTTCCCATTATTTGTGAGACTCTTCTTTTTGGCTTCTGCTTCTTAAATTGATCTGTCTCGATTTTCAGACTTTGTGGTGTGAACATCTGTGGTAGGAGACCTCTGTTTTCTTTTTCTGGATCTGCCTCTGATGATGTCAGCTGTTGTCCCTGTGTGACCTTCGGCAGTCTATTTGGGAGTTCCAGGAATCTACTGTCTGTGGCTGTCTCCTTCAGTTGTTAATCTAATCACTCTGCACTCCGCAGTCAGGCTTTAGCACCACTGGGCCAGGGCCGAGTGCCTCCTGGGGGCGAGGCTGTTGATGCTCAGGAAAGTGGTCTGACTGAGCAAGATGGCTACTGGTGGGGGGGGGGAATGAGTCAGCACCGACATTGCCAGCTACTTTCTCAGTTCTCTCCCCGAAGCCTCCTTCCCCAGTCTCTCTTCAGGTCAGTTTTCCCCACCTTTGCTGGAGCCCAGGGTAAGTGGTTGCAAATAAAAATTTATGCATTGGCCCTTTAAAAGGCTCTTTGTGTCTCCAGTGGCATGTCTCTGGCAGAGAGCAACCGTACCACTTTTCGCAGCTGGTTGTTATCTGTGTACTTTTTTGACTCTGGTGCTGTAGGCTGGAGATTCCCGCTTATGGTTCAGGCCCCACTCTTCTCAGGGGGATCCAGCTGGCTGTTTCAATATCCGTTTGGTGTTGCCGCCTGTCAGTGCCCTGCCTGCCTTCTCAAGTCTCTACCACACTCCTTACCAGTTAGGTGTGCTAAAACTGATTCTTCTGCTTGTCTGAGGTTATAAGGGTCCTCTCTTGCTATTCAGTTGTTTGTTCCAGGTGATTTTGATTTCTCCACAATTTAGTTGTAATCCCAAATTTGTCCTGGAAGGAGGTCAGTGTGACATCCATTCACTCCTCTGCCATCTTGATTTGTCCTGTAGTCTAGTTGTAATTTTTGCTGTGGTTGTGTGAGGAGGCCAGTTGCGTTTAACTACACCATCGTGACCAAAAATTCTGAGATTCTTTCTTGACTTCTGTGTCCGTGAATATTGTTTTTATTTTTCCTGTGCTACCTTCTTTGTGTTTGCATTTGTTTGATTCTTTTTCTATATATCCGTAATAGTGTCTTTCATAGTGAGTTTTTGTCACCCATCATCATTTATATATTTATTATAATGGTATAGTTTTTTTTAATTATTATTTTTCTCATGCAGTTCTC